CGGAGGAAGCTCCAGGCGGGGAAGGCGGTGAGCGGGGTGCCGGTGGGGGGCTCCCTTGCTCTGTCCCAGCACAGCTGCTGTGAGATATTCTGGGTTCCCAGCGCGGAGCCGGGAAGGGGTGGGAGAGGCGCAAGCCAAAGGACCTTGGTGTCTCTGGCCGCTGCCACCCGTCCTGGGCCAGGAGAGATGTCCAAGCTGAGCATGGTGAATGAGGAGGTGACTGCTCTGCGTCGCCATGAAATGGTGTTTGCTCCTTTGCCGGTGAATGATCCGCCCTGGCCTCGCGGGCAGCCCAGCCTAATTCCAGGAGGGACCGGCGGGATGAGACCCCGCACGAGGCAGGGGCTGGATGGCTGGAAGTCGGTCCTGGTGGTTCACTGGGAAACAGACATCTCCCAGCAAAACCAGTATGGCCAGTGGGAGTGCCCCAGTCACCCCCGTTGTCTGTGCCAAATCTCCCTCCCAGCCAGGGGGGCTGAGCCCGTCCCTGCCCCTCTGCGCGCAGGATGGCATCCTCGAAGCCAGTGCTGTCGCTGCTGGTTGCAGCTCTCCTGCTGCACGTGGCCACCACGCTGAAGATCAGCGCCTTCAACATCAAGACATTTGGGGACTCCAAGATGTCCAACCAGACTGTTGCAGATATCATCGTCTCTGTGAGTGCGAGGGGGAGAGGAGCAGTCCTGGCTGTGCTCTGGTCTCTGGGGTGCAGCCAGCTTGGCGCAGCCAGACACCAGCTTTCTGCAGGCATCCATCCATCCAGGTGTCCATCTGTGTGTCTACCCACCCATCAATCCACTTGTCCACGCAGCCCCCCCATCCATCACCAATGCCTCTATCCATCCACCCCACTATCCGTCCATCCATCCATCCATCCATCCATCCATCCATCCATCCATCCATCCATCCATCCATCCGTCCGTCCGTCCGTCCATCCATCCGTCCGTCCGTCCATCCATCCATCCGTCCATCCGTCCATCCATCCATCCATCCATCCATCCATCCATCCATCCATCCATCCATGCCTCCATCCGTCCACCCATCTGCTCTTCCCCCATCGGCATCTCCAACCTTGGGCCGTCTCCACTCTTGCCTGTCCCCAGCCAAGGGTGGGCATTGCTTGGTGCTGCCCAGGTTCCTCACTCAGAGCATCCTGTGAACAAGGAGCTACTGGGATGGCGGGTGGTAGACAGACAGGGTGTTAGAGGACACTGTGTCACCCCAGGGTTCTTCCAAGCCAGAGGATGCCAGGAGAGGAGCTCCCTCCCTGGCTCTGGGGTCCCTGCTCACCCGCTGCTGCCAGCCTGGGAGCCTTTGCAGCCCAGCCCAGGCACCCACAGGTGCCCTCACGAGCAGCTCTTGGCCAGAGGCCAGCAGCTCTGAGCTTCTCCCCCCAGATCCTGTCGGAGTATGACATCACATTGGTGCAGGAGGTCCGGGACTCTGACCTGAGCGCTGTGCAGAAGCTCATGGACCAGCTCAACAGGTGACCCCGATGGTGCAGGGCAGGGGGGGTCTGCAAATGGGATGCCAGGACAAATCCTGTTTGGCATCTTGCCATGCCGGGGCACCTCCGGCTCAGCCGCGGAGAGCGCCACAGGTGCTGGGCAGCACCGGGAGCCTCCGCTCACCCTCTCTGCGTCTCTCTCCCAGCGCATCCTCGCACCCGTACAGCTATTTGGACAGCATCCCCCTGGGTCGGAACAGCTACAAGGAGCAGTACGTCTTCATCTACAGGTAAGGGATCTCGCGTCCCTCATGTCACCCGCTGTCCTCCCCAGCATCCCCCAAAGGGTGGTGGGTACCTCTGGGCACCCTGGCTGCGGCAGGAGCCGTGCTGGGGGCTGCCCCCCTCTCCTCCCTCAGGTCAGACATGGTCTCTGTGCTGGGAAGCTACTACTACGACGATGGCTGCGAGTCCTGCGGGACCGATACCTTCAGCAGGGAGCCTTTCATCGTGAAGTTCTCCTCGCCCACCACGCGTGAGCAGAGCCGGCATTGGGGGCTGCCCGGACCTGGCACAGGGTCCCCTCCACATGGGGCTGAGCCTGGAGCTGTGCTTGCCAGGCGGGGGAGCTTGCACCCCAGAGCCCAGCTCAGGGGCTCCGCTGGGGTACCTCATTGCTGTGGGGCCTTCTCCCACCTGTGGGTGCCCAGGGGTCCTGGGTACCTGCCCAGCATGGCTGGCACTGCCTGCTGTTTCCCACCACGTGCCATCTCCTGTCACCTCCCACCGCCTGTTATCTCCCACCTTGCTCTCTCTCCAGTTGCGTGATGTCTCCAGCTGTTTCGCATCGTGTCCCACATCCCTGCTGCTTCCCGTCTTGTGCCATATCCCACCATCTGCTTCCTCTAGTTGGGTGCCATCTCCCATCACGTGCCATCTCCCATCACGCGCTGTCTCCCATCACCTCCCATTTCCCACCTTGTACCCTCTCCTGCCCCATGCCATCACCTCCACCTCCGTGGCAGCTCCCCAGGGCACACACATTCTCCCATCTCTCTCCCACTCCCGTCTCCCTCCCAAAACCACAGTGGCTTGGAAAAAATGATGGGAAACAAGCAGCAAACCCCAAACCACGTGCAGAGGGATGCAGCTCCCTGCTGGAAATTCCGGCCTGGAGGACAGGCAGATGACACCAAGCCAACTGACCCTTTCCCTTCGGCAGCTTTTCCCAGCTGGTAGCTGGGGCTTGGCCCAGGGTGGTCCCCTGGGGTTCCTGCTCCCTTCCCGGGTGCTGCACCTGAGCAGGGGGCTGACGGCCGCTTGTCCGGCAGAGGTGAAGGAGTTCGTGATGGTGCCCCTGCACGCTGAGCCCAGCAGCGCGGCGGACGAGATCGATGCGCTCTACGACGTCTACACCGACGTCGTCGACAAGTGGGCGACTAATGTAAGCGGTGGCAGGGAGCTCGGCCCCTCCCTGGGGCAGCTGGGCAGGCTGGGGTACGGCCACCAGACATCCCAGCAGCCGTCCTGGGATGGACGTGTCCCGCAGGAGACCTCTCGCACCCGTCGGAGCGGGTGCCACCCCGGTGATACCCAGGCGGGGAGCTGCTGGGCGGCCCCGCTGCCATTACTGGGAGCTTGTCCCCTCGTGCTGGGGAGCCCTGGGGTGGTTTCTGGCTGCCCCGTAAGGTTTTAGGGAGCCCTTGGTGCCCCGTAAGGTGCGCGGGCAGGGACACAGCGCGCTGGCCCGCAGGAAATCCTATTCCTGGGCGACTTCAACGCCGACTGCTCCTACGTGACCAGTGACCAGTGGCCGTCCGTCCGCCTGCGCTCCCTCAATGCCTGCAAGTGGCTCATCCCCGACAGCGCTGAC